CTGCCCTTCCTGGGATCCTTCCTGGGATCCATCCTCATCCATCCTGGGATCCACCCCCCTCATTCCTAGGATCCATTCCCATCAATTCCGGGATTTTTTCTGAGATCCTTCCCAGGATCCATCCTTGTCCTTTCCAGGATCTTTTCTGGGATCCTTCCCGGGATCCTTCCCAGGATCCTTCCTGGGATCCTTCCCAGGATCCATCCCTGTCCATTCCGGGATCTTTTCCGGGATCCTTCCCAGAATCCATCCCTGTCCTTCCTGGGATCCTTCCCGGGATCCTTCCCCGTCCTTTCCGGGATAATTTCCAGGATCCATCCCTGCCCTTCCTGGGATCCTTCCTGGGAATCTTTCCCGGGATCCACCCCCCTCATTCCCAGGATCCATTCCCATCCATTCCAGGACCTTTTCTGGGATCCTTCTCAGGATCCTTCCCCGGATCCATCTGTGTCCTTCCCAGGATCCATTCCCATCCTTCCCAGGATCCATTCCCATCCTTTCCAGGATTTTTTCCAGGATCCATCCCCGCCCTTCCCGGGATCCATCCCGAGGGCAAACGCCGCCAAATCTGTGGGATTTTCCTCGGGAAAACCTCCTTTTATCCCTGTGGGATTTTTCCTGCTGCTTTTCCCAGGTTTTTACCCCTTCATCGGTGGAGGAACCATGGAAAAATTCCCAGATTTCCAGCTCCATCCGCCAGGAAAAAAGCCAAAGGATTCCGACGCTGCATTCCCAACCCTTGGAAAAGCTCGGGGCTGGATATGGATTTGGTGAATCCCTGGATGCACCAAATCCCACCAAATCCACCCCGTTCCCAATTCCCGCTTCCAGAATCGCCCCAGCACCGGGAAAACCTTGATTCCAGCAAAAATCCCATGGAATTCCCCATCCTCCCCTCTGATATTCCCAAATTCCCGAACTTCCACCTTCACCTTCCCGCCGGGGAGCTCATCCCAGTTTTCCCGGAATGTTGGGAAGGGGATGGCGAGCGCTCTTCCCAATTAAATCCCGCTCCCATTCCCTCGGCTCTTCCCGGTGTTTCCCGAATTTGGGAAGCGGCTCTCACCTTCCCGCAGGATCCCCGTGTCCTGCTGGCTCCCGGTGGGATCGGATCCCGGATCCCGGTGGGATCAGATCCCGGATCCCGGTGGGATCGGATCCCAAATCCTGGTGGGATCAGATCCCGCGGGAAGCGCTGGAATCGCTTCCAGAAATCCGAGGATGGAAAAGCGGGAAGCAGGAAAACTCCGGGATCCTGCGCGGCGAGCTTTGGGAATCAGCCGGGAAATTCCAGGGAATCCTCTCCCGGCGCAGGGGGATCCAATCCCCCCCGCCCCGGATTCCCGGGAAAAGCCGGAGCCGCTCCCGGAGCGCGGAAGGAGCCGGGGCAGGAAGGGGGAAAGGGGAAGGAGCGGGAGGCGGTCCCGGGGCGCCGCCACTCCCCCGGGAAGCGCCGCCGCCTTCCCGATCCCGGGATCCATCCCCGGGATCCATCCCCGGGATCCATCCCCGGGATCCATCCCCGGGATCCCGGGAATTCTGCCCGCAGGACGAGCCCGATCCCCGATCCCGGCGGGGTTTGGAATTGTGGGAATGCCGGGAGGAAAAGCGGGAAGGGGAGGACGGGGAGCGGGGGGAGCCCCTGATCCCACAGCTGCGATCCCGGGATGGGCTGGGAATTCCCAGTGGGAATGGGGAAATGAGAGGGGTGAGCGCTTCCCGAAATTCCAGGTGGGAATTCCTGTGGAGCTGCAGGCCACAGTGGGGCTCAAGGACACCCGGCTCATTCCCATTCCCGTTCCCATTCCTGTTCCCATTCCCATCCCATTCCCATTCCCATTCCATCCCCATTCTCGTTCCCATTCCCATCCCATTCCCGTTCTCATTCCCATTCCCGTTCCCATTCCCGTTCCCATTCCCATTCCCAATCCCATCCCCATTCCCATTCCCATTCCAATTCCCATTCCCATTCCATTCCCGTTCCCATTCCCATTTCCCATTCCCAGTTCCCATTCCCATTCCCACTCCCAATCCCATTCCCACTCCCAATCCCATTCCCATTCCCATCCCCATTCCCATTCCCAGTTCCCATTCCCATTCCCACTCCCAATCCCATTCCCACTCCCAATCCCATTCCCATTCCCATCCCCATTCCCATTCCCAGTTCCCATTCCCATTCCCACTCCCAATCCCATTCCCACTCCCAATCCCATTCCCACTCCCAATCCCATTCCCATTCCCATTCCCGGTCCCATTCCCATTCCCATTCCCATTCCCCATTCCCATTCCCTTCCCTCAGCTCCTGCTGCTCCCAAATTTTCCCTGCTCCAGGTTGTCCCAGCTGGAAAGACGGGAAGGAATCCCAAGGGATGTGGGGCTCCCCCATTCCCTAAAACCCACAGGGAATTCCGTCATCATCCCCTTCTCTGGAATTCCCGATCCCGGATCATCCGCCTGGATTTCGCTTTTAGGGACGCCGAATCCTTTTTCCCAAGCGGATGAGGCGCAGGAATCCCGGGATCCCGGGGAGATCCCTTTCTCTGGGATGGCCGCGGATCTCTCCCCGTGGATCCCTCCATGAATCCCTCCATGGATCCCTCCCCGTGGATCCCTCACTGGATCTGTCCCATTGGTCCCTCATGTGGATCCCTCCCGTGGATCCCTCCATGGATCCCCCCAAGGGATCCATCCCGTGGATCCATCCTGAGGATCCCTCCGCGTGGATCCCTCCATGGATCCCTCCTGTGGATCCCTCCATGGATCCCTCCCCATGGATCCTTCTGTGGATCCCTCCATGGATCCCTCTGTTGATCCCCCCATGGATCCCTCCGTGGGTCCCTCCATGGATCCCTCCGTGGATCCCCTCGTGGATCCCTCCTGTGGATTCCCACTGTGGATCCCTCCATGGATCCCTCCATGGATCCCCCCCATGGATATCTCCTGTGGATCCTTCTGTGGATCCCTCCATGGATCCCTCAGTGGATCCCTCCCGTGGAACCTTCTGTGGATCCCTCCATGTGGATCCTTCTGTGGATCCCTCCACGGATCCCTCCTGAAGATCCCTCAGTGGATCCCTCCATGGATCCCTCTGTTGATCCCTCACCGTGGATCCCTCCATGGATCCCCCCCATGGATCTCTCCTGTGGATCCCTCCATGGATCCGTCCCGTGGATCTCTCCGTGAATCTCACCCGTTGATCCCTCTGTTGATCCCACTGTGGATCCCTCCATGGATCCCTCCTGAAGATCCCTCAGTGGATCCCTCCCATGGATCCCTCTGTTGATCCCTCACCGTGGATCCCTCCATGGATCCACCCATGGGATCCCCCATGGATCCCTCAGTTAACCCCTCTTGTGGATTCCCAGTCTGGATTCCTCTGTGGATCCCTCCTGTGGATCTGTCCTGTGGATCCCTCCCTGTTGATCCCTCCATGGATCCCTCACTGTGGATCCCTCCATGAATCCCTCCCATGGATCCCTTTGTGGATCCCTCTGTGGATCCCTCCTGTGGATCTCTCCATGGATCCCTCTGTTGATCCCTCACCATGGATTCCCCCCCCTGGATCTCTCCTGTGGATCCCTCCATGGATCCGTCCCGTGGATCCCTCCGTGAATCTCACCCATGGATCCCTCTGTTGATCCCACTGTGGATCCATCCCGTGGATCCCTCCATGGATCCCTCAATGGATCCCTCATGTGGATTCCAACCGTGGATCCCTCCATGGATACCTCCTTGGATCCCTTCTGTGGATCCCTCCATGGATCCCTCCCATGAACCCCCCCATGGATCCCTCGGTGGATCCCTCGGTGGATCCCTCTGTGAATCCCACCCGTGGATACCTCAGTTGATCCCTCCATGGATCCCCCCAATGGATCCGTCCCGTGGATCCATCCAGCGGATCCGTCCCGTGGATACCTCCTTGGATCCCTCCCATGGATCCCTTTGTGGATCCCTCTGTGGATCCCTCCATTGATCCCCCGAATGGATCCGTCCCATGGATCCCCCCTGTGGATCCCTCCCCGTGGATCCCTCCGTGGATCCCTCACCATGGATCATTCCATTGATCCTTTTGTTGATCCCACTGTGGATCCCTCAGTGGATCCCTCCTGTGGCTCCCTCCCCGTGGATCCCTCCATGGATCCTCCCGTGGATCCCTACAATGGATCCCTCACCGTGGATCCCCCCTGCAGATCCATCCATGGATCTCTCTGTGGATCCCTCCATGAATCCATCTCATGGATACCTCAGTGGATCCCTCCTGTGGATTCCCACTGTGGATCCCTCCTGCAGATCCCTCCCTGTGGATCCCTCCATGGATCCCCCCATGGATCCCCGGCTCCCCATTCCCGGCCGTTCCCAATCTCTCCCACGCACACCAACACGCAATTCCCACATTCCCGCTCCGGGCTGGAATCCCGGATCCCCCGGGCTGGAATCCCAGATCCCCCGGGCTGGAATCCCGGATCCAATCCCGGATCCCCCGGGCCGGAATCCCAGATCCAATCCCGGATCCCCTGGGCCAGAATCCCGGATCCCCCGGGCCGGAATCCCGGATCCAATCCCGGATCCCCTGGGCCAGAATCCCGGATCCAATCCCGGATCCCCCGGGCCGGAATCCCGGATCCCCCGGGCCGGAATCCCGGATCCCCTGGGCCGGAATCCCGGATCCTCCGGGCTGGAATCCCGGATCCAATCCCGGATCCAATCCCGGATCCAATCCCGGATCCAATCCCGGATCCAATCCCGGATCCCCCGGGTTGGAATCCCGGATCCTCCGGACCACCGTGAATCTCCCGGAGCACGTTTGGGGAGTGGAATCCACACATCCAAATCCCAAAAAACATTCCCGTCGGGAATCTCCACGGAGCTGCGCCCGTCCCGCTCCTCCCGATCCTTTTCCCGCCCCGTCCCCTCAGGGAGGAAAACGCCGCTGGAATTCCCTCGGATCCCATCCCCGATCCCAAATCCCCGCGGCATTCCCGCTTTTCCCGAGGACCCACCGGAGAAGCGGCTCAGGAGGCGGCGGAGCCATCCCATGTCCCCTTTTCCAGAGGCGATCCCGATCCCGATCCCGATCCCGATCCCGATCCCGATCCCGATCCCGATCCCAATCCCGATCCCGATCCCGATCCCGATCCCGATCCCGATCCCGATCCCGTCGCTCCGGGAACGGCTCCCGGGAAACCGCCGCTCCCTCCCCTCCCCCCCCTTCCCTCCCCCTCCTCCTTTCCCAATTCCCAGTTTTTCCCATTTTTTTTATTCCCATTGGCGCGGAGAGTTGGGAATTAAAACCCGCCGGGATTTGTTCCCCTCGTCGTTGCTGGGGATTGGATTGCGGCTCGTGGGGATTTTAATTCAATTAAAATTAAAATTATAATTAAAAATTAGAATTATTAGAATTAGAATTAGAATTAGAATTAGAATTAGAATTAGAATTAAAAGTTAAGATTAAAAATAAAACTAAAAAATAAAACTAAAAATTAAACTTAAAAATAAAAATAAAACTAAAAATAAAACTAAAAATTAAAATTAAAAATAAAAATAAAATTAAAATTAAAGCTAAAAATTAAAATTAAAAATAAAAATAAAATTAAAAATAAAAATAAAATTTAAAACTAAAATAAAAATTAAAAAATAAAATTAAAATTAAAAATTATAATTAAAATTTAAATTACAATTAAAAATTAAAATTAAAATTAAAATTAAAATTAAAATTAAAATTAAAATTGAAATTTAAATTAAAAATAAAAATAAAAATAAAAATAAAAATAAAAATAAAAATAAAAATAAAAATAAAAATAAAAATAAAGTAAAAATTAAGAATGAAAATAAAAATAAAACTTAAACTTAAAATTAAAATTAATATTAAAATAAAAATAAAAATAAAAATAAAAATAAAAATAAAAATAAAAATAAAAATAAAAATAAAAATAAAAATAAAAATAAAAATAAAAATAAAAATAAAAATAAAAATAAAAAATACAATTAAAATTAAAATTAAAACCAAAATAAAGATTAAAAATTAAAATTAAAATTAAAAATAAAACTAAAAAATGAAAATTAAAAATAAAACTAAAATAAAAATTAAAATAAAAACAAAAATAAAAATAAAAATAAAAATAAAAATAAAAATAAAAATAAAATAAAAATTAAAAACTAAAATTAAAATTAAAATTAAAAACTAAAATTAATTAAATAAACGGGGATCCACTTACTTTTTCCCGAGGGAGCTGCTGGAGCCGGGAACGCGCTCCCGAGGATCCGCCGGGATTTGGGAGCGGGAGAAGTTGGAGCCGCTTCCCGAGGTTTGGATGGAGCCGTTCCCAGCGCCGGGAATTCTGCGGGATCCTGCTGCCATCTCCCGGCTGGAAAAGCGGGAGCTGGGAAAAAATTCCAACCCCCATCCGTCATTCCAAGATTTCCTCAGAGAATTCCACTTCGGGATGGGTTTTGGGGGTGGGAAAATCCTGGAAAAAAGCGGGAATGAGGGGGGATGGATGGAGTCAACCCATGGGGTCATCCCGGTTTTCCTCATCCCGGTTTTCCTCATCCCGGTTTTCCTCATCCCGGTTTTCCTCATCCCGGTTTTCCTCATCCTTTGGGATCGGCGTTGGGAAAGGGATTTGGTGGCGGGATTGGGATGGATCAGGCCAAAATTCCCGGATTTTCCTCCGCTTTTCCCATCTCAGGGAAAATTTGGATCCCAAAGCAGTCGGGATATCCCAAAATCCAGCAGGATTTTCCAGAAATCATCCCACGGAATATTCCCGCTCCTTGATCCCCAAACCAGCTGTGAAATTCCCTGGAAAAGGGAATTCCTTTTCCCTGGGATCTCCAGGAAGGGGCAAAGAGCAGAATTTGGGGAACCAGAGGTTGGAAAGGTCGGGAATTTTGTTTTTCCCATGTGGAGCCATCCCGGGAATCCTGACAGGGCCTCATCCCATCCCCCCACCACCCCCATCCCATTCCCAACCTCCGGCGATTTCCATGGAAACTGCGGATCCGAATTCCATGGAAACCCCATGGCAACCCCATGGCAACCAACGGCGTTCCCAAATCCCGGAGGAGGCGGGAGAGGCCGGGAATGCTGAGCCTGGAGAGATCCGGGCCTGCTTCCCATGGAATCCACGGAATTCCCGGGATTCCGCAGAGGGAGAGGATGGGGAGAGGCCGGGAAAGCAAATCCCGGGAATTGAGAGTGGGATCCCGGTTATGGGATGTTCCCAGGGTTTCTCTGGGAATTCCAGCCCGGACGGGAATTCCTTCCCCAGATCCCAAAATCCCAAGCTCCCCTTTCCCACTGGGAATTCCATTCCCTGGCTCCTGCCCCTCCAGCCCTTCCCCAAATTCCAGCTCTCCTGGAGCCCCTTTGGGATCGGGAAGCGGCTCCAAGGATTCCCTGGATCCTTCCCTGATCCAGGGGAACATTCCCGGCTCTCCCAGCCTGGCATTGGATCCATCCCCACCCCGATTCATCCTGGAGAAGGAATTTTGGGATCCAGGGGCTTCACTGGGAATTCAGGAATTTTTCACCCCCAAATTCCATAAAAATCCCTCGGGATGGATCCTGAGCGTCCTTGATCCCAGAATCCCGGAATGGTTTGGGATAGGATCCATGGATCTCCAATCCCATCCCATTCCCACCCCACCATCCCAGGATGCTCCAACTTTTCCTGGGACACTCCCATGGATCCCTTGGGAATTCCAGCCCGGCCCCTCCCCTCATTCCAACCGCATTTCCCGAATCCCAGCGGGAAGCAGCGGCAGGAACTCTCCCGGTGCCTTTTTCCCGCTGCTTCCACGGAAAAGCGCCGGGAAAATTGGGAAAATTTGGAAAATTTGGGAGCGTGGTGGGGGGGGCGGCCATGATGCTCCCGCCGTTGCCAAGCAACGGGAAGCACCACCGCGCATGCGCAGCAGCGCTGAGACGCTGCCGCAGTTGCTTAGCAACGAGCGACGCTCAGCGTTGTGCGCATGCGCAGTGAGCGCCGCGATTCGGCCGTTGCCGAGGCAACGGGAGGCGCGCATGCGCAGAAGCGGAAGCGCACCTGCGCTCAGGTGTGCTCATGGAGGACGGGGCGGGCCCGGGGCCGAGCCCGGAGCAGGCGGAGCTCGGGCCCGAGCCTAAACCGGATCCTGAAGCTCATCCCAAACCGGATCCCGGTGCTGAGCCAGGTCCCGGTGCCGTTCCCGGTGCCGATCCCGGTGCTGATCCCGATCTCGGAGCCGATCCCGGTGCTGTTCCCGGTACCGATCGCGGTTCCGGTGCTGTTCCCGGTGCCGATCCCGGTGCTGTTCCCGGTGCTGTTCCCGGTGCTGTTCCCGGTGCCGATTCCGGTCCCGGTGCTGTTCCCGGTGCCGATCCCGATCTCAGAGCCGATCCCGGTACCGATCCCGGTGCTATTCCCGGTGCTGATCTCGGTACCGATCGCGGTTCCGGTGCTGATCTCGGTACCGATCCCGGTGCCGATCCCGGTGCCGTTCCCGATCCCGATCTCGGAGCCGATCCCGGTGCTGTTCCCGGTCCCGATCCCGTTTCCGATCCCGTTTCCGATCCCGGTGCTGTTCCCGGTTCCGATCCCGGTCCCGGCGCGGATTGGGAGCGCCAGCAGCGAATCGCCGCCCGCCGCCACCGCATCGATGCCCGGCGCCGGTGAGGAGCGGCGGGGCCATTCCCGTTCCCGGTTTTCCATAGCGGGGGGTGGTGCTGGGGGGTGCCCGCCCCAAACCGGGACGGGGCCGGGGGTCAGGAGTTCACCCCAAACTCGGGGATTACCGGAACCGGGCTCAGAACCGGAACCGGGCCTGGGGATCTGTGCCAATCCTGTCCCGGGGGCTGAGGGACATTCCCGAGATCGGGATCCATCCTAAAGGGTCAGGATCCATCCCAAATTCATTCCCAAAGGCTCAGGATCCATCCCAAAGGCTCAGGATCCATCCCAAATTCATTCCCAGAGCTCGGGATCCATCCCAAAGGCTCAGGATCCATCCCAAAGGCTCAGGATCCATCCCAAACCCAATCCCAGAGCTCAGGATCCATCCCAAACCCAATCCCAGGCTTGGGATCCATCCCAAATTCATTCCCAAAGGCTCAGGATCCATCCCAAAGGCTCAGGATCCATCCCAAATTCATCCCCAGAGCTCGGGATCCATCCCAAAGGTTCAGGATCCATCCCAATCCCAATCCCAGAGCTCAGGATCCATCCCAAAGGTTCAGGATCTATCCCAAACCAAATCCTAAAGGTTGAGGATCCATCCCAAAGGCTCAGGATCCATCCCAAACCAAATCCTAAAGGCTCAGGATCCATCCCAAAGGCTCAGGATCCATCCCAAATTCATTCCCAAAGGCTCAGGATCCATCCCAAAGGCTCGGGATCCATCCCAAACCCAATCCCGGGCTCAGGATCCATCCCAAATTCATTCCCAAATGTTCAGGATCCATCCCAATCCCAATCCCAGAGCTCAGGATCCATCCCAATCCCAATCCCAAAGGCTCAGGATCCATCCCAAATCCATTCCCAGGGCTCAGAACCATTCCGAGGGCTCCAAACCCATCCCAAACCCAATCCCAAATCCTAAAGGCTCTGGATCCATCCCAAAGGCTCAGAATCCATCCCAAACCCAATCCCAATCCCAAAGGCTCAGGATCCATCCCAATCGCAATCCCAATCCCAATCCCAATCCCAATCCCAATCCCAGGCTCGGGATCCATCCCAATCCCAATCCCAGACTCAGGATCCATCCCAATCCCAATCCCAATCCCAAAGGCTGCGGGAATATCCCGAGCGGGAAGGATCCCATTGGGATCATCCCAAATCCCTTCCCGACCCCACCTGGGATTGATCCCACTGGAATATCCAAGTGGGATGGAATTATATTATATTATATTATATTATATTATATTATATTATATTATATTATATTATATTATATTAATTATATTATATTATATTATATTATATTATATTATATATTATTATATTATATTATATTATATATTATTATATTTTATTATATTATATTATATTATATTATATTATATTATATTATATTATATTATATTATATTATATTATATTATATTATATTATATTATATTATATTATATTATATTATATTATATTATATTATATTATATTGTATTAATTATATATAATTTTTATATAAAGATTTTATTAAATAATTCACCTTTTTATTAATTTTTATATTTAATTTTCATTAAGCTTTAAT